GGACACTATTTTCTTAAACAAGGAGGGTTGGGGATAGGGCCACGCTTTCAATAATACTCCAAGCTTCCTACTTGCATTAAGAGTTAGACGCAGAACCCACGGGGCTGTTCTACTGTGTCCCATAGGGTCACTCTAAGTCAGAATAGGGTCAATGATTTTCTTTTGAGGGATATGGCTGGGTGATTGAGGAGAATGGGGAGCTAACAACGATGTTGTTGACGCTGTCAAGGACTTTTCTTACTTGGATCCACAATCAATGCTCATGGAAGTAGCAGTCAAGAGACCAAACGACGTATTGCATTAGGTAAATCAGCTGCATAAGACCTTTTTAGGGTATTGAAGAGCAAGGATGTTACTTTGAGGACTAAGGTGCACCTGAAACAAACCATGGTATTCTCCATTGCATTCTATGCACGTGAACGCTGGACCCTGAATAAGGAAGGCCACAGAAGAATAGATGCATTTGATTTGTGATTAGAATATTGAAAATGCTATGGACCGCTGAAAGGACAAGCAGATCTGTCTTGGAAGCAGTAAGGCCAGAATGCTCCTTAGAGGTAAGGCTCGCAAGACTTCATCTTACACACTTTGGACATATTGTCAAGAGAGACCAGTCCCTGGAGAAGGACATCATGTTCAGTAAAGTGGAGGGGTGACCCTAAATGAGACAGAGTGACACATGGCTGCATCCATGGGCTCAGACAGAGGGACAGTTGTGAGACTAGCACAGGACTGTACAGTGTTCCATTTGGTTGTGCACAGGGTTGCTATGGGCTAGAGCCAGCTGGATGGTCCCTGCCAACAACGAGGACGAGAAAGAAGAAAATGGTCTGAAACTGATGGTGGTGATGACTGCACAGCTCGTCTTAAGAAGACGGAACTATTGAGTTGTATAGTATATGTGAATTATATGCCCATAGAACCACTCAAAATTATGATCTGAAGTGTAAACCCCCATCTAATTCACAATGAAAAGTTAAAAAAAAAAGATAGTGAGAAAAGAAGATTTAGAGCTGTGGAAACCCCAAAGGGACAGTTCACTCTCACTTAAAGGGCCACCATGAGTTGAATCTACTTGATGGCTCCTTAAAAAGGACCCCTACTGGCACAGTGGGTCACCTGTTTGGCTGTTTGAAAGGTCAGTGGTTCAAACACACCAGCTGCACCACGGGACAAAGACATGACAGTTAGAACCGCTGTTGGACAGGTCTGCCACGATGAGTTGGAATCATCAATCACTAGTGGGTTTTGTTTGGATTATGGTTACTTGCTATCAAATATTTAGATTAAAATAGGAAAATATACCAAAACGTATTCCTTCATTCAACAGCTGAATGTGTTCAAATAGCCAGAGAGTTGGTGTCATGCAGAAATAGCTTAAGTTACTCATGAATTCTAAGAAATGATGCTCGAGCTACAATCAACAAAACTCATCAGGGCATCCACCTAATAATTCTAAAAATAATATTTATTAGCTCCTAAGCACTAGCAGCTCATTAGATGTACTAAGCACTCAACGATGATTTAAAACATAATTTAATTTTCTTTTATTTAATATTTCAAAAGTATCTTAGGGGAGAACATAAATAGAAAGTTCTGTGTTTGGGGGGCATTAGTTTAAAATTATAAAGTCAGCATAGATTATGCTTTGCAGCTTTCAGGACATGCTGCTTCCATCCTTCATGATCCGTGTCCCGAGGAGACAGCATCGGAATAGTGGATCCCTGGAATGTAGTGGATCCCTGGAATGTAGTGGATTCCTGGAATGTAGTGGATCCCTGGAATGGATTTGACCTGGTCACCTACATACATTAAAAACTGCCCAAGTGCACTTTATAGTCAAAGAAAGAAAGAAAGAGGCACGTGGAAAGTAGAATTCTTCTATCCCTCTTAAAATATGTCTGAACACAAGCTTAATTTTGCTGAACCAAAGCTAAAATGATGTAGCTAGTCTTCTCATGTCAAGAGCCCAGGAACATTCTCTGTGTGGGGTGGGGAAATGGGCATTGTTGACACCGAGGAGCTGCTGGCCCAAGGGAATGTCAAGGCGGCAGCAGTGAACCAGGAGAGGTGACAGTGCATGGAAACCTCAATGGCTACACTTAGGGCCCTGGAAACCACCTTTTACCTGTGATACTTCCTCCGATAAACTCACTTCCGAATGAAGGACGCTCTCTCTCAAGGCCTTCCTTCTGTGACTCTCCTTCTCACCCACTCCAACTCCTCTCCCAGTGGAAAGGAGAACAACAACAGTTGCTGTTTCCATAGGGGCTGCCTTGGACCCTGGTTCTGTTGGAGATACTCTATTTGAGGACAGAAGCAGAAAATATGGCTGTAAAATTAAATTAACCCACAGAAGCTAGCCCTAGATGGAGAAGGCACAGGCTACAGAAATATGTCTTGAGGGGACCCTAACAGACCCTAACTGGAGCAGCGTAGACCACGGGACACTGTAAAACTCACTTGGGGACCTAGAAAGCCTACATCTCAGCTGGCTTGCAGATCACACATTTCCTTTCTCAATGACCAAGTTCCTGGTTTTAAGAGGCCCACAGAGCAAGGGTCCTTATGCTTGCCAGATCACCTGAAATGGCAGTTCCAGCACTAACAGAGGATTTAAACTAGGAATAAACAAGTTATATGCATACACAACTAGTTACGCTAACTATTCCAGACACCCTTGCTACAGCCAGTGGGCCACTGCCATCAAGTTGATGCCGGCCGCCCAGGGCAGGGTGGCACTGTCCCGAGGAGTTTCTGAGGCTGGACCTCTTTACAGGAGGAAGCCCTGTCTTTGTCCCAACGAGGAGTTGGCGGTTTCAGCTAACGTCCATTCCAAACTAGAAAGATCTCATTAAACCAGGTGACTGTACCACAAATGCTCAAACACGAAACTTTGCCCCAAGAAACACATACCGACTCTGGCCTAGGATGACTGCCCTACAAAGGACTGTGTCCGGCGTGCCCTCGGGGAGACACTGCTGCCCGTCTCATGCCACTCCTGTTCGCTAATCAAGGCTTTCACCCAATGTTGACGTTCTCATCTTTTTGTCCACGCCCATCTCCGAGAACAATTCAATGTGCATTCTTACAGTTTAACCATAGATCACAAGGGAAGAAAGGCCAAATATGGGTGAGAGAATATGAAGAGAAATCTAATTATATGCAAGGAGTCGTCCTCAGGACTGGGGTTGCTTTTAGTTCAACTCCCATTAATAACATCAAAGAGTTATCACTTTGTCAACAATTGTCACTACATTGTGAGTGCCTTTGTGGTTGGACCTTCAGATAGGTTGTGTGAAAGTGTGTAGAATGTATCTTAAGATAAATGAAACAATCACTCCAGTCTTTAGAAATTTTAATTTGAAATAATGTAACATATTTTATCATTTAGAAATTTCAATTTAGTGTCTTGGCCACAGAGGCTTAATGAAATGGTTGGGTTTGGTTTCAAAGTACCTCAAGTGAACAGAAAAAAACAATATATATACATGTATGTGTTTGTGTGTATATACACACATATATATACATACACACATGCATGTGTATATGTATACACACCTGTGGATATATATTGAAATATAACTTGACTATATATACATATAAAACTTGAAAAAACATATACAAACATACATACATATGTATATATGAGAGGGCTTCAAAAGTTTTTGGGAAAATTCCATGATTTTTTAATTCTCTTTTTCCATGAACTTTTTTGAAGCCCCTCATATGTTTCAAGTTTTATATATGAATATTTATTCAAGTTTATGGATCTCAAGGTTATATATGCACACACACAGTACATGTATCTCTTTCTCTCCATATATATATAAAATGCATAATCTCCCCTCATTCAGTGATGTAGTTCGCTAGTCTTACTCTGGGTCCACACTTTGGAGAAATGAAACTCCAAGGGGGGCACATTGATCGTAGATGGATCCCATCTCTCCTTCCCCATGTTTAAGGATGACAGCTTGCCTCCAACGACTCAGATGGGTTGGAATGAACCTGAGTGCGCCAGGGGCCTGCCTCCTGTCTTCAGACAGAGAGATGAACTAAAGCCACCAAGAGCGGGAGAAGGGGAACTCCGGGCTTTTTTTTTTTGGCTTTAAAAGTTTCATTTGATACTGTGGGAGTAAAAATGATGTTTTTTGAAGTGATTTTCTTAAAATAATCACTTTAGTGATAAACACAGTAAAAGATGCATGTGCACTAAAGTCTGAGCCTTCTTCTACTCTAATGACTTCTTCCTACAAAGTTCTCCTTCCAAGTGCGCAGTAGCAGCAAGTACAGCAGAAAGAGGAGGCGGCTCTCTGGGGCGACGGCAAGCAGTTATTACATTTCAGCAAAGGCTCGTAAGAGCCTCCTGGGAGGGTAGCATTTTCCTTTAGTGCACACCCAGAGACTTGTTTACTCACACAGAACACGCTTTCTTTGGGGTCTCCAAATCCCATGCTTCCATTTCTAACTCCGCCCCCCCCCCCCCAAGTCCCTGCCTTCGAAACAATTCTGACTCATAGTAACTCTAGTCTTTCAGGTTGGGGGTGGCACTTTTAAATGCAGTGCACAACAGCCTCAATGTATGAGTTGTGCAAAGTCCGGATGAACCGTGGAACCCGGTGCTTGGTGGCTAACTGAAAGATAGGTGCTCTGAACCACGCCAGGGGCTCCCCAGGAGGAAATACACTGAAAACCACCGATGACAAAAGCAACAGAGTTGTTGGCAGTTTCTGCCAAATAGGCCAGTTCAAATCCTAAATCTGGGGCCATGGTTGCTAGTCGCCGTGGAGTTGACTAAACTCCTGTGCAGAGTAGAACAACGCCCCTCAAGGTCTTCAAAGTCTGACCTTTCCGGAGCAGATTGCCAGAACTGCCTTTCCCAGAAGCCCCTGCATGGGCTCAAAACTCCAACCTTCGAACTAGTCATCTATAGTGTAATTGTTTGCACCTTCCAGGAACTCAAATCTGGTTTACCCAGATAAAAACCAGGCATCAAAACAACAGGGGGACCGGAACATTTACTTTTCATGGGGGATTTGTACAAAGAGGACATACTTAAATTGGAAGTGTGTGTCCACCGAGCTTTGTGTCAGCAGTGTGCCCCTGTTGTGTACACACAGCCCGGAGAAGATGCTTTTCCACTCTTTGGTGTTTGGCAGGTTTTTGTTTTTGCTTTCTGGTTGGGCTAAACATGCTTACGAGATAATATATGAATTAAGGAGAGCTTTGTTTTATTTAAGCGGGGGGAACGATGTCATCATCACCTCTCTCTAAAAAAGCCTCCAAGTGAATAATAAATAAGGAGGATACAATACAAATTGGGCAAATACGTAAACTCAAGTGATGAGGTATTTCAGAGACCGTGCCCATAAGGATACCCCCTCCCTCTGTTTGCAACTGGCAGCTCTCTGACTTGGGTCTTTCTGTCCTTAGATTCAGGGTACCCTCGGGGTGTGCGAGAAGAGCCACTTGGGGATGTGGAGGGGTGACAGAGTTCCGAGCAGTCAGAGAAGGAAAGGAGCAAAGCAACATTTACATGTCTTTGTCTCAGAACAAAAACATTTCTTTAGAAAGCTGTTGAAGGTGTTTCCGCGTCCTAACAACGCTCATTGTCACAGGGCGAGTGATTGTCTAGGCGACGCCTCTTCGCAGAGGGCGGTGTTTTGTTCTCAGACACCAGGAAAACATGACTGATTCACATTCGATTTTCCATGCTATACTTAGTTTTACAGATGTGTTCAGTGTGAAGGCTGTGTTTACTATATTCTGGGGACAGCATGTATATAAAAAAAGCCCAGGAAACCCTTACACCCAATTTAGACAATTTAAATATCCCATTGTGATCTCTCAATTCCCGTAACCTACTGCTACATTAGCTAGAAATTCCTCACTTCTCAGAATCCAGCATTCTAGATTTGAGAAAATGACCATTTATCAGAGCTTTTGGGTGTCCTCCCACCCCCCATAGTTATTAAATTGGTTGTTCCTTTATGTAGCAAAACCCAGGGACTCCCAGCCAGCAGACCTCGTTCTGTATGATGCATCTACCAGAAACCGCAGAGCACACATGGGCATGCTCTCAGTCAACAGACACGGGCATTCACTTGAGGGATCCGTCGGCCACGAGCCAACATATACATACGTATAAGTGCAAACAGAGAATTGACACCAAATTCATTGTAGGTCGTAATGTCCTTTGAATATTAAAAGTGGGCCAGAAAGTAGGCAGCTCCCTTGACATTTAGGAGGAAAACTTTAGATTGTCGCTGTCGCGTGGCAGCAGCTTCATATCACATCTCGTGAGCTCCGGATCGCACAGCAGAGGACCATGCTGAAGATCATGCCAAAGATCTGAAACGGAAGGAACAGCTTGTTGGTGACTTTCAAATGGGTCTGAAACTTGTCTGCATGACTCACTCAAGTTAACCAACAATCCTTGGTTTTAAAAGGCATTTTTCTTTATGTGATGTAAAATTGGCAGCTGGTGAAAGAGAACCCCGTGCCCAGCTTGAAATGCCCGAGACATGATGACCATGGAGCCCGCTGGCCGGTGGGCTCCCTGTTGAACTGCTAACAGCCAGGGGAACCGCTGGAAACCGCCAGCCACTCCTCCAGAGAAAGATGAGGCTTGTTTGCTCCGAACAGTCAGTCTCGGAATCTCACGGGGCAGCTCTACTCTGTCCCACAGGTCGTGATGGGTCGGCACCGACTTGGTGGCAGTGGAGTTGGTCTTGGTGTATATGATAATTATTACACAAATCACAAGGACTCTAAGAAAGTATTCCCGTTTGTGGGAGTTACACAACTTCATGTCAACTTGATAACTAGAATGAAGGGGTGGAGTCTAGCCTGTCAATCAGGTCACAGCCTCTCTTCCTCCCTGGAGGCCGGACACACTGTCTGTCTCACCTTCCTGTTGCCAAGCAGTCTGGGGCCAGGCTGATGGCAGCCAGAGCCCTGTAGGTGCTTCCACTGCAACTGAAACCACAGGACTTTCCACCCACCGACCTGTGACTTTCCTGCGTTGGGCATCATTGCATGTGCTGTGTGAGTCTGACGAGGATTTCATGGGCTAATATCAGTCTTGTGGGCTAATATCGAACTTCTGAACTTGATCTGGACTTGGCTAGGATGTTTTATTGATGCATAATTACTTCTTGATATGAAGTTCTCTCTTACACATATATGAATGTTTCTGGATTTGTTTCTCTAGTCAATCCGAACACACCATTTCTTAAATACTAATGAGAATTTTCTTCATAACTATAAGGCAGATGGATACACTACTGCTTCGTGATTTTATATTTTAGTTAAATCCAGGCTCTTGTATCTTTGAACATACATTTTGAAACACATGCTGTTTAAATACCCTTGTGGTCTAAGTAGCTTTCTGTTGTCGCCCGAGTTGTGAACCCTGCAGTGGTGATCGCACACGGTGCACCTCTTCACTTCTGGCCCATTTCTTGATTTCTCTCTTTAAGGAAGTTTTTTTCTTTCTCCTGGTCCATTTATAGTACACACCCTGCTCCACTGATGGGTTCGATAGTTTTTTGTTTTTTTTGGGGGTTCGATAGTTTTACCAAAGCTTACAGTGTTGAAACTAGAGGATTACTGACTTCCTTATTCCTGGGTAGTTCTTTGACAAGTCAACTACTTGGGCAAAATCAATGCCACTTTTAGGGTCTAAACAAAAGGATCTGAGAAGATCCTTCTTGCCCTTCATCATTTCCTCTACAATTTTTCAGGCCCAGTGGATGTGCAGTGTTTAAAAACTATTATCACTTTAGCTGGGCCGAGGAGTGGCTGCTGTGGCTTTGGCAAGACTGAAATCACAGGAGGTCCAGAAACTGATGCTCACTTCCAGCTCACTGGTATTAAAGCATACTTTAGCCCTTATACCCTCACTAAAAAATTCCAGCTCACTGGTACTAAAACATACTTTAGCCCAGATACTCTCACTAAAATATTCCAGCTCACTGGTACTAAAACATACTTTAGCCCACATACTCTCACTAAAAAACTCACTGCCATTGAGTCCATGCTGACTCATAGAAGCCCCCTGTGGGTTTCTGAGACTGTAAATGTTTATAGGGGTAGGAAGCCCCAGTCTTTCTCCCCTGGGGCTGCTGGTGGTTTTGGACTGCTGACCATGTGGATTACAGCCCACCTTGTAACCACTACCACCACCCTAGACTCTCACAGGTAGAATGAATTGTGTGCTAGACACAGACGGGGGCTTTGGTTTGGTTGTCCTGGTCTTTAAGGTGCGGTTAAAAATAACCCTAGCTATGAAAACAGCATCAGTGGAGCCTCAAACTGCTAAGTTCTTCCCCTTCACTGCCATCTTGTCCATGCTACTCACAGTGACCCCCTGTGGGCTTCCTAGACTGTAACTGTTTACAGGAGTAGAATGCCTAGTCTTTCTCCTGAGGAGCTGCTACTGGGTTTGAACTGCGGACCATGTGGATCGCAGCCCAATGCTTAACACTGAGCCACCAGGGCTCAGTACCCAGGAAAAATGAATGCCAGCTCAATTATAAACCTGGAAAAAATAAACTAAAACAAGACGATCATCAATGTTCTTTCGAAGTTGGTACCCGTAGCTTTCTGGTTCTCTTCTCCATTCCCATCCTAAGTCCGACTAGGTTCTGTGAATATCGAACTTAAAATAGCATGGATTATTGCTATTTTTTAATACTCTTTTTGGAGGACAGCAGGCAGAAGCAGGATTTCAAGCTTCTGGCCAATAGTCTATACAACTACTGTGTGGCAGGGGAGACACCTAATGGACATTTGGTTAACTGATGACATTGTGACATGCCTACTTCATAAAGAAGGTCACAGTGTGGGAATTGCACCTGATCTGACCCCACCA